CAGCTTTGCATGAAGTTAACATTTTACCTTAACGAGAGCAAGTGCTTGGTAGATCAGGGAAGGAAAAGAAATGTTGGCTTAGTTTGGTGACTTTCCAGCCTCCTAACTTGACACTTTTATGACATGCTATTTTCTATGGTAAACTTATCACCCTCTCTGATTCCGAAGGTCACAGCCTTCACCGAATACTTATTTAAAATAAGAAATTATGTAAACGTTTTCACTGTAGTTTTATCTTGTGTTGTGTAAAAAAAAAAAAAAATAGGAACAAAAGGTGGTAAAGTAAATGTAAAAATTAGCACCGAGTAATAGGTTTGATCTCCTCTATTTGCTTTGATATCATTTCCCAATCATAAAAAAAAAGACCGTATCTTGTGATCTCTTCTGATATAAATGGAGAGTTCCAAAATCCAGGTAATTACTCGAACTGCACACTGCACGGCCACAGTAGGTAGTGTTAGCCACCTGAAGATTAGGTTTCTGTCATCTCACCCGGGATCCGAGTGAGGTGGGTTTCTGACCAGCTAACATACTAGCCTTCAGAAAGGGACTAGCCTTCGTTCGAAGGCCTGTTTTAGAACATTTGACTCTTTCCTATTTTTGTCCCAGGCAAACAGTCATGAGAAGTGGTAAATGATAGACTGGACATCATGAAAGAAACCTCAAAAACTTACAAGTGAACACAGAATAAGTACACCGAGTTAAGCTGCACAGTTACAGATGTTAAGGAGCCCTAACCCTCCAAGGCTGTGTTGACCCTGAGTGTCACATTGTCACAGCTTGGTCATACAAGTGAAGCTTTGCCTCTTCAAGTACAATACAGCGACTGAGAACAGGGTAACTCAAATACAGAGTTCATTCTGCAAGTTCTCAACATTGTTGATATATGACTTGAGGCAGATGATGTGTGACAAGCAATTTTACCACAGGCTGATGTATAGACAAGTCCTTAGGTTCCTACACTCTCATCATCGTCATCACTATCTGCTTGCTGTACATCGCGAAGCTGAATCGTATCTAAGCCAAAACACCATTTAATTTCTATTCACGGATTTTCTCACCCATTTATTTCTCTCTCAGTGTCAGGCAGCCTGTCGAGGAAAGCCTAGCAGGAGGCTTTGTGAAAGGCACTTCCCAAGTCCTGCTGCAAGGCCAGTCCGTATCTACATGTAGCTAGTATGATGGAAGCCTTGCTGTCGTCACTCCGCAGACTTGGCACTTGTATTTCTGGTTGTACACAGACGTTTCTCTGATCTTTGCCCGTTTCTACGAGCTTACCGTTTGGACCACACATTTGTTTAAAGCTTCACTAGCTTTGGAATTGGAGCACACACAAATTTGAATCTAAGTCAGATCTGTCTTTTCTTATTCTCTGACCATCTGCAAAATGAGGTCAGTGTATGTCCATTATAGGATTGATAGAATTGAGATGTAAATATCTAATTAATACTGTCTTTCCCCTCTTTGCTTTCTTACTGATTATTTGTACTTAGAAATTGAATTTCACTATTTGAAACTCAGAGAAGTCATCAAATAACGTACCCAAGCATAAAAGTGGGTTGTAATCCATTTTTGTATTTGTAACAATAAGCAGAGAAAAAACCAACCATGGCAGACTGTTTTATTCAAGGCAAGTCTTACTCAGCTTAATGCCCCACGTCGCAGTGCCATTAAAAAGGCAAACGAGACACAGTGATGTTTATAGGTGTCATTTGCGCTGTTTCCTGTCCCTCGGAGCTGAGATTCTCTTGTGGCCTCACTGGTTGGAAGCTGAGTCCCCCGCTATGCTACAAGCAGCCGCCTCACCTCTTCACATGCCTCTGCTATGCATCGGACCCCTTGTACTTCAACGTGTCCTTCATGTATCGAGTGGCTCTCAGCTGTCACTTGAGGTGGAGATGCCGTGTGCGGCCTCAGCTCAGGACCTGCCGAGTCAGAGTCTGCAGCGGTGAGGCCTGAGAAACTACTTACAACCCGAGTCCGGTGTCCTCAGGAGCAGCCGGGCGGAGACTCGTTGCTCAGCCTCCAACCTTCACTCACCGTTTCCTCTTCACATCGTCCGTCAGCAACCTGGCTGCCTTCATGCTGCTGAACACGGTGCTGGGTTTTACCAGTCTCTCCGGGACCACAAGAAACCAGCCTCCCCATCAACGATGTCCCCATGTAAACTATCTCCTACCAGCTGCAAAACGCAGTGTTTTTAAAATGTAAGTCACAGAGGGAAGACAATCAGACCATCGTTAAGAATAACTGCAATGGGTTGAAAAAAACTATATTAAAATGTACTCATTCATAATGACACTATAACAAAACCACCATGGTTACCTTTGGAGAACGTAAGGAAACCAATTCCTTATTTTGCATACTTGGGAATGAAGGACAGAATCAAGCATTTATCCAGCCATATATATGTAATCTCAGGATAACCAAAGTACTACTGAATGGACGTATATAGAAATATTTCATCTAATAAATAAGAGTATCACCATTTTGGTCCTGGCTGGTTTGGCTCAGCGGTTAGAGCATCGGCCTGCGGTTTGAGAGACCCGGGTTCGGTTCCTGCTAAGGGCATGTACCTCGGTTGCAGTTTGTCCCTGGCCCTGGTTGGTCGTGTGGGTGGCAGCCACTCCATGTGTCCCTTCACGTCGATGTTTCTCTCTCTCTCTCTTCCTCTCTCTCCCTCCCACTCTACCTGAACAAAAAAAAAATGGAAAAAATGTCCTCCGGTGAGGATAAAAAAAAAAGAGTATCACCATTTTGAAATCCCTAATGAAATAATGTATCTAGGTAATGATCATCAATAGCAATTACTATAAGAAGGTAACTAGTGATTCGGAAGTAGCTAACACCACTGTCAAGTATTGTTCCCCAAAACACCTTAATAGAATACAGGGAAACAGGTCAAACTGCAGTCGGCAAGGTGCAGAATGTGGGAGAGTACAGAACAATCTAGTTTCTACAAATTGTGAGGAAACAAGGAACAAGAAGGGAAGGGAAGGGAAGAGACTACCAGAGGTGTATCAGCCAACTGTACTGTGTGGGCCTTACTTAGATCCTGATAGAACAAAGTGGGAATAAAACAAAAAATAATGAGACATTGGAATTAATCGTTTTTTGGTGTAATAATCTTCTGAAGTTCTTATTGTCTTAAAGATATATATATACACGTATACATAGAAATACATGCAATTTCTTATATGAGATTTGCTTCCAAGTAGTCTTGTGGGGGAGAGGGGCAGTTGGTGGGGATATAGATGAAACAATTGTTGGGTGATGAGGGTTCTTTATACTCTTCTGCTTTTGTATGTATTTATAATTTCTCTAATAAAAAGTTAGATATAAAGTACATGAAGAAGGCTGAAATCAGTTGCTGTTGAATTTAAAATAAAATCCAAAGTCCGTCCGTACCTTGACCGACAAAGCCACTTCCTACCTCACCGGCTGGAGGCGCCTGTCTGGGACCCTGGCCTCGCAGCGACTTCCTGCCTGCTCAGGCCTCGCTCACAGCTCCTTCACGGGCATCTCCTTCCCTCTGCTCGTCTCAGCACCTCGCCTTCTGCCTCAGTCATCATCCTGCAGGTCTTTCCTGGCCACCCCAAGTTTGGATCTTGCCTGTTAATGCTGTCAGTGTATTCTAGCATAATTTGTAATTATATTGGTTTCTTTTTGTCTTTCTCCTACCAGAATATAAGGAACTATATCTTGTACAGTCCTGTATTTCTAATGCCTGTCACATGTGTGATACGGTAGGTACTTAATAAATGCTTGTTGAAGGAACCCTTCTGTTGTCTGTCCTGTGTGTGTCAGCTCCAACTGTGTTTGATGTGAAACTTAGATTCTGGAACAAGCTCAGGTATTCCCTTGAAATAGACACTTACCTTTGAGACCACTGGGGTTATGAACGCAACACAGGGCTTTGAAACTGATTATACATAGACGGTCCATACATCAAAGCTGATTTTTATGACTGCAAGTTACCCCGCGATAAATTTATTTCCGTGTGGCCGTGTTTTTCTGTGCACTGGGTTCTCGCTGGAAGAATGTGACTCACATCCCCCACGCAGAGATCCACGCACGGGCTTGGAGTGCCCTGGCGGCGTGGGAACGCAGCACCCGGCCCGGAGGCACTGGTCTGGCAGAGCCTTCTGCGCGCGGAGACCACAGCCACTCCATTCTCCTCCCGTCCCAGTAATTGTAGCTCCTTTCAGGAGTAATCTGTCCTTCACGATTCGGGGTAAATCCACAGGTTCCTCTCGAGTTCCTGTCGCAGGCAGTCTCCAAGGTGGTCTGCAGTCATTCTTGCCTCTAGAATTCCATACTCCTGTTCGTTCATCCACACCCTACTGAACAGGGCTGACCTGTGTCGCCAACAGGTGTGGTGGAAAGGGGGTGACCCTGAAGGTTAGCACATAAAAGCCATCGCAAGTTTCTGCCCAACTAAGCCTTTCATGTTTCTTCTTGTACTGGTCTTCTCTCCTGTTTTCTTCAACAGAATGGTTTCTGAATACTCTCTTTAGTGTGAAAAGGTCATTTTGCACCCTACCCTTCCCTAGCTTGCCATCCCTGCAACCTGGAGTCTGTACATTTAAGAAATATGCTTTCAATTTCTATCATTTTAAGTCACGGATAAAAACACCAGAACACATTCCAGTATTGATTCTAACAGCCTTGAAAAGTTACTGCCTATGTTCAGAGACTGACAGTGAACGTATGATGATTTTAAGGTTATAACATTCTAAATCAGAATACCATTTACTATGGAGATGCAGTGTGGGTCCCATTTTATCTCACTTTCAGCTATCAGATCTATCCCCTCCACTGGAGGACTCGAGATTTAATTATATTTAGCTATCTGGCAACCAATTTTTAAAGCATATATTCTAGTGTTAAGTCTTACATGGGTTTAAAAAATACTGGCAAATTCTAGAAATGATGAGAAATGCCCCAACACATTTTTTTCAAGGGGAGTAGAAATCCGTAACCAAATGAGACAAGCGAGATGCGGCAACACGTCTTTATTTGTCATAGAGGTGCAGCGCAGGCACCGTCGCGAACACCGCTGCTTCCGGACGCAGCCCGGGCAAAAGCATCGTGGCGCGCTGCCCGCAGGAGTGACCCGGGGGCATCTTCGGACGCGGGCGAGGCGAGAAGTGGGGAATGGCGCTTGTGGCGTGAGTCGCTCAGCAGTGTGCGACAGGCATCCTCACCAGAAGGCAGAACTGCAGCCACCCGCGGGCCCGCCAGCCTAGAATGCAGGTCTGGCGCAGGGCGCCCCTTTCGGGGGACGCGGACTTGGCGCCGGCTCAGCACGTCTAAGGAGCTGGCAGAGCCATGTAAGAGTGTAAGGCTGGGTTTCCCCTACCACACATGTTGGCGACTGGCATAACTGAGCACATCTGGAACGTTAGCTGAAGAAGCCTAGGGTTAAAAAACAGGCCACTGTCCATATGACAGAACCGCTACTTCATAATGTCTGCCCTGTCCTCACCCTGTTTCGGCCTACAACACCCTTACCCGATGAATCTTAGTGAAACCTCTAGCAACTGTAACAGACCAGCTCTAACACTAAGTATCAGAGGAAAGTGCCGGTGGAGTGAGGTGTCCTGGGAAGGCGCGGCGCCTACTGGAGGTAAGTGTCCAGTTTCCTCTTGATGTTGTCGAAGGAGTCGGCGCCCATGTAATCGGCCTGGCCCTGCTCCCACCGCTCCTTCCGTTCTTCCGAGGACACAGAAGGCTGTGCTGGCGCGGGGGTCTCCCCCAGGGCCAGATGGGACATGGCTCCCGAGACATCTTCCTGGAAAGGAGAGTACAATTGGAGACCCCTTGAGAGCTGGAAATCAGACTGCTTTAGAGAACGCAACACATTGAAGAAGGTGAGAAAAGCCGGGATGAATTATCATGCAAAGTAGCAAAAACTGAAACACATTACATGAAACAAACAAAAAAAGACACAGAACTACAAGGGTCATGAGATTGTTTCCTAACGAAACGAAGACTTCTCGACTGAGCGCAAACACTGGGAGAACAAGGTAATGAGGGTTAATGTTTAAGCTCTGCGTACCTTTCTACAGAAGCCACAAGAGAAAGCCAGTGTACAGACCAAGTCTGAAAGCTGCAACAGTTCATTAGAAAGTGTAAGACGATGGACAAGGAAAGACGGCTCCGTGATAAATTCTCGGTCTGTGTGGGCTCAGAAAGGTGGAGAACTTAAACAGAACGAGAGGCTAAGCGTCCGAGGGCCCCTTGCGGGGAGCCGACCACACACGCCAGTCGCGGTGTCAGAAAGGCAAGAGCTAAACGGTCTGAGACCCAGCACCCGACTCCTCTGCTTGTTCGAGCTCATGACCATGCAGCATCTATCCCTGTAGCTTCTGTTCATTTAATCAGCTTAGTTTTGAACAACTGTCTCAGTTCCCATCTTCACCTTTTTTGGTTCACAATTTTCAGACCTTGGGTTGTGGAAGGCACAAGGTAAATGCAGGAAATGGAGCAAACCTACTCTACATTCGCTTCCTGTTACATCCAGACATGAATTCCCTGCAACCGTTCCATAAGGGAGCATCTCCGCTTCCTACTGGAAATCTTAGCAGAAAAAGGGAAGTGGATGAATGCATATAGGTACTGCTTTTGACAGAAGGCGCCAGAACAACCTTTCTGATTACCTGTTCCTGGTGCTATACCTGTACATATGTGTAAGTGTCTATGTGTGCACTTAAATACACCGGAACTCCAAGGCTGCCTTCCACTTGCAACAGGGATGACACAGGAGCCCCTTGCAGAGTCCTCTGCTCACCATATTTTCATAAGAGTAACAGTCTCTCAGACCTGGGTTTCAGTCCAGTTCTGCTCTTGAGTAACTAGTCTGCTACATGATGAAGAGAAGTTAGGTAACTTCTTTACGCCTCGGCTAGCTTTAATATCTGAAAAGGGGATATTAAATAACAGTACTGGACAGACTAGTCGCTCAACAGAAACAGCTAACCTGTCTGGAGCGCTCACTGCGCCAGGATGTCCCAAGCACTGTGCAGGGTTAGTTCACGGTCCACATAAAGCAGTTAGAGTGAGAATGTGAGCGCTGAGTTATTTCTCTTCTTCTTTTTGTATTCTGTTACACGCACTAATAAGTGAAATGGCCAAAGTCTCTACCAGAGCAAAGAGGAGAATCTCTTATAATCTTATAGTCTCTTATAGAAAGGCAATTAACTGATCAGTTACTCTTGATTATAATTCACCCCTTCAGTTCTACTCTTTATAGCTTAATATGTAACATAAAGGTTTAATTTTTTTAAATTATTGAATTTATTGGGGTGACATTAATAAAATTATACAGGTTTCAGGTGTACAAGTCTGTAACACATCATCTGTACACTGTACTGTGTGCTCACCACCCAATCATCTCCATCTGTTACCATTTATCCCCCTTTACCCTCTGCTACCTCCCCAAAGTGTCATTTCTTACCCTTTTCCAATTCTTCCAAAAGAACAAACCTCAGAAAATATGCTGAGTACATCACCTTCCTCTTTACTTCTTTCTTAAGATCCTATACAACCATATAGGAATACAAACATGGAAAACCAAAATAATCCTGGAAAAGTATTTGTATGTTCATGTTGAATTTTCACTGAAAATACAGTCTTCTGAGCAGAAGGCAAAAATAAAATAGCTCTATTTAAATGTTGGCATTTTCTGAAACACGAAACATGGCAGCTGCTGCTTTAGGAATAGTCGCGGGGCAATGGGCTAAGACGTTCATAGTTACAACACACAGCTATAGAGTGAATCCTCTGAAAGCCTTCCTCTGCCCTCACATCTAAGGAAAACTGACCCAAACTCTGCTTCTGTGTTAGTCTTTGCTGGTAACGTGTCTCCCTACTAAGATGGACACGTTTTCCATCCACACATTGTGTCTCTCTGTTTAAAATGCCACCAAACAGTCCACGTCCCCTGGCACACAAAGCTTTGAAAACCCAGCGATCAGTCCCTGAGGGAGAAACAGAACCTACCACGGTGAGGTGCGAGTGGGGGTCCGTGGCCAGGCCGAACTGCTGCAGCAGAGGGAAGACGCTGGTGGTGAAGATGTCCCACCACAGGCTGAGGAACTCGGGGTGAACCATGGTGGGGTCCTGGGGCTCGCTCTGCACGCTTTTTGTTTCAGGATTGTAGGTGTAACTCCACGGTTTGATTCGCCCCAGGAAATGCACGACTTTGGCGTTCGCACCAAACCTGCGAGGAAACACGGGGAGGGTGTGGATGCTGAGGGCGGAGGCGCAGCGGCAGCATCGGCTCCGCGGACTCGGCAGAGCGACGTCCCCACAGCGGTGGCTGCCAGGGACCGAGTTCCCTGAAAAACGCCGCAAAATCTGTTTAAATTGTCCCACTGTGTTAACTACAAAAAGTGCAAAGGTATCGGTGAACCAGAACACGGGTCCCCCGCGCACGGCGATGGCACCGCCGCTAGGAACCGTCCCGTGTCACCCACTCGGGTCCGAGACGCCTGTGCCACACCCGGAAGCCCCGCCGTGGGCACGCGCCTGCAGACGCCCTCCGCGAGCGGGCCGGGCACGCGTCCACTGGAAGCAATGCCCACGGGGTGAGCTCGCTGAGCGAGCGTCCACTTCCCCGCCTCCCGGGCGCTGGGCTGCATCAGTCACTTCGCTGTAGGACAAGGAAGAGGCAGGAAAATCCTGAGGCAAGTGAAACAGGGAAACCGAGGCAGGAAAGTTAAACGAGCCTAAAGCCTTGTAGGCTGCTTGTGGCAGGGCCTCACCTTCAGGCCCAGGGGGTAAGGCCTCTCCTCCCACTGCGGGACACGGGACAGGAGGGCCGGGCGGGAGCGGGAATCGGACTCTGGTGACGCCCATCCCGAAGCTGTTCAAACAGCACGGACAGGAGGAAAGAGGGTCAAGTAAGAAGCCAGCGCTTCCGTGGACTGCTGGAAGCCACAGCAAGGAAGGGGAGGAATGTTCCAGAGCTCAGCCAGGAGGGTGCAGGAGGCAGAACCCCCTGCTCTGGGCCGGCCGGCCGTCGGGGCGCGCAGGCGCGCTGGCTGTTCCGTCCATCAGCGTGCACACCTCACCGTCAGTCCCTTCGCTAAGCGGCAGGAATACTGTCTAGGCCCTTATTTAACTTTGTGTATATGAGAAGACAAGGGTGGGGGTTGGGGCCAGCCCACCCCCTTGGACCTGGAGGGCTGTCCACTAACCCCTCTCTGGGGTCGGAGGGGTGCCTGTCACACTCTGGACACTGAATGTAAGCAGAAGTGTCACTGTGCCTTCAGAAAAACAGTTTTTATTTTTATTTAATTCCTCACCTGAGGATATTTTTCCACTTATTATCAGACAGAATGGGAGGGAGGGAGAGAGAGTCAGAGAGAAACATCGATGTGATAGAGCCACATAGACTGGTTGCCTCCCCTATGACCCAACTAGGGCCGGGGATGAACCACCACCGAGGTACGTGCCTGAACCGGAATCGAACCCGCGACTCATTGGCCCGCCGGCTGATGCTCCGACCCTGAGCCACACCCCAGGGAGCAGTATGTCTCGTTCCCCTCAGTGCGGAGCTGTGAACCTGCCGCAGAAAACGGGGCTGCATGCAGCCGTGTGGACCAGACCGGTGACCCGGCTGCACGCCCAGCTGAGACTGGGCGCTGTCCAAGCCCGGCCACCAACACGCGGGCAAGGAATGCGTGCCAACTGCTGCACGTCACTGAGGTTCTAGGCTTATGGATCCATTCTTTTTTTTTTTTCATTAAAAAATAATTCATTAAGTTTTCCCACTTTAGAACTGCTCTGTGACTTTTTAGGTTTCTACCTTTTTTCTTTTCTTTTTGGTACGAGCCCCTAGCGGGAACCGAACCCGGGACTCTGGTCCACAGGCCGACGCTCCAACCGCTGAGCCAAACTGGCCCGGGCTCTACCCTTTTTCTTCTTCTAGAAACAGACCCACATTCTCAGGTGGTTGAAAGCAGAGGACTGAGAGGGGGAGGCTCATGTATCTCTGCCCTTTCTCAACTCTCTGGCAAAAAAATTAGCTGGAGACATTTTCCCTCACACAATTTCACAGGCAAACCTCACCCTTCACTTTAAAACTCTGACAGCCGCCCCCTGTGCCTGACCCATGTAATCAAGCCCAAAGCACATGGTCCTTCGCGTTGTACTGCTGTCCAAGGACAACGTCTGCACATTCGTATCATGGAGCCCAATACAGCAGTGAGAACGAACAAGCTACAGCTACACACATCATGTAGCAAATGAATGAACTTTTAAAATATGCTGAGAAAAGAAATACATACACATTCAAATAGGAATACATATGAATCCACGTATATAAGCGCAAAACAAAAAAAGCGCCGTTAGAAGAGAAGACTGTGATCGGTATAGATGTCAGGACACTGGTTCTCCGGCGGAGAGGGAGCTGGGACGGGGGGGGGGGGGGGGACAAAGGAGAGCCTCAAGGTACTGGCTGTGTCCCATTCGTCACTCGGGTAGTGGGTATTTTAAAAAGCTGCACATCTTTTGTATATTCTCTCTGGGACATACACTACATTTCACAGTAAGAATTAAGATCAGTCCTACTGTGGCTTGGAGGAAAGATATGAACGTAAGACCAAATAACAATATCAGTGAATACAACAGGTGCCAAAGGCAGGGGAACCGGTGAGGGCTCCAGGAGCTCAGGCTGAGGCCACCGAGCCGGGGCACTGGGCAGGGAGCTGAGGGGGTGGATGTCCTTGAAGTCTGCACAGCTCACATGGGGGTCACACAGGAGTTCCAGCCGAGAGGCAGCCGTGAGGCGAGCAGATGTGCCTGACCAAGCGTCCTCTTGTGACAGCGAAGGTGACATGGGACAGAGCCCGAGTGCCGGGCTCGCACGTCACAGCTCAGTGGGTTCATCCTAGAGGCATGCAGAGGGTTTGGTCGGGACACGCGGATCTACCTAATGCCAGTTCTCTCCACGTGACCTCTCCCGCCTGCTCAAGTTCTTTGTTCTGTGTTAACGTCAGAACCTTTCTACAGCTGTCATCATCTGAGAGTTTACTGTGTTTGGGCCCAAATTATTTAAAGACATGACTGAGAATAACAGTCCTCAAGACAGATTTTACCAGTGTTCATGGAGGTCCCAGGGGCTGACTACACGAAGCCACCAGCTGCTGAGGGCAGAGATGACACCCACAGCTGTCTCTCCAGCCGCCCCCCCGCCCGCCCCTCTCCAGCCCCCAGCTCCAGGCAGCACTGTGAAGGACGGGTGAGCCTGCCATCAGCCCCCCTAGGGGGGACCATCTCCCACTGCATTTCTTTGGAAAAGGAAGTGGACACCTGATATCCCCAAGCTAACTTTTTATTTTATACACACAGAGTATTTTACACACTCCCAGTCTCACACAAGTACTTGCAATTTTATCCTTAAGAGGATATACATAATAATGCCCAAACCAGGTGTGCAAGGCACTATGCTCGGCACATGGGCCCAAGAGGCTTTTGCCCAAACAGGGAGCTGAGTCTGCCAATAAAAAGAGTAACAGCAGCACAAGCGAGGCCACAGCTCAGAGCCACCAGGGCGGTGCTGCGCTCGGACTGCGGGATGCAGAGCATCGGCACGGGAGGGCATTTTCACCAGAGGCCGAGAAGGACGGGCAGGATGGTAACAGCCTTCCACCCATGTCCCCGTGAGGGTGCAGCCCCATCCTGGCGACACGGCCACGAGCTACAGCAGAATGGCGCCGGGGGCGGAGTGCTCCCTCCCCCCTCAGACACCCGTCCTGCTCAGGCTCCGGCCTGGACGCGAGCACCGTCCTGTCCTAGTGACCAGTACGGCCACCTGTGGATGTCATACAGTCATACTCATCAAATTAAGACATAAATTTTAGAGACTAAACTGGACTCCTTTCTAATCTGCTCTCCTTGACGCTTTGCGAATACTTAGGAACAGTAACGTCTAACACACAGGGTGGGCCAAGGCAGGAGTACATGAGACGGGGACACGGAACAGCACAACTGTGCGTCCTGCAGCCACACCCCCTCCTGCCCAGCCGTGGACTGAGGGCTCGCACAGGCCGGCTGGTGAGCGATCGCATGATGCATCTCAGCTCGTGTCCAGAACAGCTCCGTGAGGAAACAGCATGAAGTTAATGGCTGATCTAGAACCACACGCTGTGGGTGCAGGGCTGGGAGTCCACCCAGGCCTGCGGCCCCAAAGCCAAGGTCCTTAACCACAACTGGCTGATACTACGAGACACGCCCAGGATTGTAAGGACACCGCCTGCGAGTGACCTGTTCCTGCATGGATTGACTCCCCGACTACAGACGGTCGGCCTGAGAGCTGGAGAAGGTGCCCAACGACTCCCGAAAACATCCCGACAGTCACCGGGCGGAGCAACCGAAAGTAGCCAACAGGAAAGAGACCGCGAGGAGCCCGGCTGGCGCCGCCGGAAGGGGCAGCGCATCCGGTGCAGAGAGACCGCGAGGAGCCCGGCTGGCGCCGCCGGAAGGGGCAGCGCATCCGGTGCAGAGACCGCGAGGAGCCCGGCTGGCGCCGCCGGAAGGGGCAGCGCATCCGGTGCAGAGACCGCGAGGAGCCCGGCTGGCGCCGCCGGAAGGGGCAGCGCATCCGGTTCAGAGAGACCACGAGGAGCCCAGCTGGCGCCGCCGGAAGGGGCAGCGCATCCGGTGCAGAGAGACCACGAGGAGCCCAGCTGGCGCCGCCGGAAGGGGCAGCGCATCCGGTGCAGAGACCGCGAGGAGCCCGGCTGGCGCCGCCGGAAGGGGCAGCGCATCCGGTTCAGAGAGACCGCGAGGAGCCCGGCTGGCGCCGCCGGAAGGGGGCAGCGCATCCTGTTCAGAGAGACCACGAGGAGCCCAGCTGGCGCCGCCGGAAGGGGCAGCGCATCCGGTGCAGAGAGACCGCGAGGAGCCCGGCTGGCGCCGCCGGAAGGGGCAGCGCATCCGGTGCAGAGACCGCGAGGAGCCCGGCTGGCGCCGCCGGAAGGGGCAGCGCATCCGGTGCAGAGAGACCGCGAGGAGCCCGGCTGGCGCCGCCGGAAGGGGCAGCGCATCCGGTGCAGAGAGACCGCGAGGAGCCCGGCTGGCGCCGCCGGAAGGGGCAGCGCATCCGGTGCAGAGAGACCGCGAGGAGCCCGGCTGGCGCCGCCGGAAGGGGCAGCGCATCCGGTGCAGAGAGACCGCGAGGAGCCCGGCTGGCGCCGCCGGAAGGGGCAGCGCATC